GCTTAATAGCTCATGGCACGTCAGAAGAATGTCAAATTTCTATTTTATATCACTTCTGAGCAAGATCTCTCTGTTAGGAAGCTTCGAACCGCCTGCCTCTGCCCTTGTATGAATTCTTGGGCAATTTATCAATCTCTTATATTGGAAGGAGTTCCTGTACGGGTAACAGCCCGTACAGGCGCGAGCACTGGCACCCTCAATATCGAAGTCAAGCTAGTAATTGGGGTTCTGTCTACTGGGGAGTATACTTCGGACCGAATCGAATAAATGTTCGAGTATTCGAATAAATTAATCGAATAAATTTTATTCGAAATTCGATTGTTTGAAAATTTCAAAATCTCGAATATATTCGATATTCGTTTATTCGAAATTTGTCAATTTCGAATTTATTCGATTATTCGGTTATTCGAAAATTTTGATTTTCGAAAATATTCGGACATTCGAATATTTATTTTCAGAAGTTATTCGATTATTCGACAACCAGCCGCTTTCTGCCGCTACGCGGCAGATTCGGCTGTTACTCGGCAGCTTCGCTGCCTCGTACACTTTTCATTTTAATGTATACCAATGTAAGATCAAGTCATTTGATTGCCTGTTCGTACGAACTACTTCTGTTTATGACCTGTTTAGATCGACAGACCGAAGACATAATTTTGTACCTGCAAGTTTATTGAATCAACATCATAAGCAACAAATAGTATGCAATTAACAACAACATAGAATGGCTGCAACAGTGACTACACCAAAAAAGAAGATGCCAACAACAACGATAAGTACAACAGAAAAGGCCTATGACACAACAACAGTAGCGAAGAAGCAGCCGTAACAGCAAAAATCTTAGAGTGTAGAACTTCACAGGACTTCGGTGAAAACGACGTTGATTGGATTGCTTTGGATTGGCGACTTGCACAATGAGACCTTCACGCGACCTCGAACGGCTGAGGGCCACATAGAGTTGACCGTGACCGAAGACATCGGTGGGAAGCCACAATCCAACCTTGGTGAAGGATTGGCCTTGGGCCTTGTTGATGCTCATAGCGAGCGCCAATCTGATGGGGAATTGGGAGCGCCGGAGTCTGAAGGGCAGATTCTTGCCGTTGTTGTTGTGGATCCTCGTAATCACGACAGACTGCCTATGCCGATTACATATTATGAATTTGCATTGTATGAGACGACGGCCCATATCGCGGACTTGTAGTCGTGTTCCATTGTTCTAGCCCGGATGAAACATCCAAGTTCCTAAGCAGCATGACGATGGCGCCTTCTTTCAACTTGAGACAGTGCGGCGGCAAGGAGGAGCTAGAGATTGTGTTGAGAAACTCGGTAGTACTAAATTGATTCTGGTCGTTAGCGTCGACGATGACAATTTTATCGTGCGAATAGTAAATCTGTTCTTCACCTTGTATGCGGCTTAGAACTTGTTCGTTTATGGAATTCACGTCGGCGTTCTTGGGGGCAAGGATAGCCTGATCAGACAAATCAACCAATGGTTCGATGCAGTCGCCGTATAGCTCTTGAACTATATCTCCTCGACCCATGATTTCCGTTGGCAGTTCCACTCGTCCCTGGCTGTCATTGACGGTGCCGTTGCCCACACGCAATAGAAAGTCCTTCCAATCCGCATCGCGGCTCGTCACTCGCATATTTTCGGAAAGGCGGAGTACTATGAAATGCGACCAAAGGGAGGACTGCTTAATGCACATGTTTAGTTGGTCTGCTCGCGATCCGCTGCGAACAACCGGTAAGATCTGCCCGAAGTCGCCTCCGAGAACGACCATTTTTCCGCCAAAGGGCTTGTCCACTTGCATGATATCGCGTAGTACAGCATCCACCGTCTCAAAAGCCGTTTTTGGGATCATAGAGGCTTCGTCCCAGATGAACACGTCGTTTTCGGCGAGCAGTCTCGCGTCCTTCATCTGCCTTCTGTGGGATGATGTCTCGCAGTTGTTCAAGATATTTAGCTTGAACAACGACACCGTTGTGCGACCCGATGGGAGCAGGTTGGCCGCGATTCCTGTCCACGCTGTGCACGCGACTTTGCGCCCTTGACCGATGAGGATATTAAAAAGACATGTATAGGTCCATGTTTTCCCTGAACCGCCCGGACCATCGATGAAGAAAAGCTTTGGAGCATCTGGGACATCGAGAGCACCAAGAATGGTGTCAACCGCTGCCTTTTGCTGTGAATTTAAAGTCCCATATAAGCGATAACCTTCGGCTGAGCGAAACGCAATATCGTGCGCGTGAGCGTGGGACGACGGCCTAACGACGGTGTGGGAATGTTGAATTAGCAATGTTGATATTGTTCTTGATAAGTCGCTCTTCAAGATCCGCCTTGCGCCACGTGCTCGAGTTCTCTGCGCAATGTGATCTGCGAACTGGAAGTGGAGGTAGGTGCCAGTTCAAACATTACTTGTTGCCGCGAGTCAAGCGTAGAGATCGTTTGTGCTGTGTTCTCGTTGATTGGCTCGTATCCTCGTTGGCCAACCCGCTCTGGGCTCGCACCATGCCTGGATTGATCCAGTGTCTCCTGAAGGTGTCCGTTGAGCTGTGGTTCCTGTTGCCGTCGACGAAGATGACGTTCACGCATTGAGGCAAGACGCCGTTCTCGTTCTTCTGGTGTTTCTCGGCTACGACGAAGGCGGCTACGCATGGCTTCAGAAGTGCGCCTTGCTGCGGTACGGGCTCGGGTTCTCTGGGCGATACGCACCTGCGACTGAGGTATGGAGGGGGACGGTCCATTGCTGGAGGGGGTCAATGTCGGCGCCACCATGGTCTCGGTAATAACAGTAGTCGAAGGAGGTACGACCGATGAAGGCATGGTATGAATGAACCGTAAGGCCGGGATAGGGTATTTTGATTTGTTGGCCATATTTGATCTCGTGGATGAACCATTTTGATTTTGTTGATGAGCTAATCAGTCGACGAAACCCGTTGCGAAAGGTCAACGCATAGTTGGATATCAGCTAGTCTCCAGAATGTGGTATACAAAGAATCAAAAAAAGCAAAAAAGTTTAGTGGTCAAAGTTGTAGATATTTTGATCAAATTAATCATGCTCAGTTATCCCTTCCTGCCATTTTTAGCTCAACAGAGATTAGAACATGAAAAAATCGATAAATCGATAGCGCCAGTGAGTGATTTTCTGTGAAAAAGCTTAGTGACACCCGCCCCACCCCAATCTTCATATGTGCAAAGTTTCATTTGAATTCAATCAAGTTTTCTAACATTTTAGGCCGGTCATAACGGACTTGCTAAGCGAGAAACGCAAAAAATCGATAAATCGATAGCGCCACTTGGTGATTTTCGGTGAAAAAGCTTAGTGACACCCGCCCCACCCCGATCTTCATGTGTGCAAAGTTTCGTTTGAATTCAATGAAGTTTTCTAACATTTTAGGCCGGTCATAACGGACTTGCTAAGCGAGAAACGCAAAAAATCGATAAATCGATAGCGCCACTTGGTGATTTTCGGTGAAAAAGCTTAGTGACACCCGCCCCACCCCGATCTTCATGTGTGCAAAGTTTCGTTTGAATTCAATGAAGTTTTCTAACATTTTAGGCCGGTCATAAAAAAATGCTTATCCAAATTTTATATAAGTATTGATTTTGTCCTTTTTGGATGATACAATTTGGAGTGGTATTGCGTACACAAAGCCCAAATCTGATGTCAAGTGATTGTATGTGGGCTGTAAACAAGCCATTTGTTTGTTTGTATATTGGATTCCGCATGCTTTCGAAAGAACTTGTTTGACAAGGGAAACCTGATTTCCCAATTTCTTTACGGGCTCCGCCCCGAAGCCTGCAAAAACGACATCACCTTTGCTTTTTACCCCAAAAACGAAGTGCAGTTGAACTTCAGATCAACTGTGCCGGGTGCACCAAAAAACGTCGATCCACAGTTCATTGGCTTGATCATACTGATATCAAACGATTGACAATCCTGAAAACGCTCAGTGAGAGAACTTAAAATGATTCATTTTTGTAGAGTCTAGGACTGAGTCTCAAAAATTTGCATCCAAAAGTTTAGATGGTGTCATTGAAAAAATCTCCAGTCTATTCGCGCGAAAGAGTCTCAAAAGCGGTTTGAAATTTTTCACAAAACCTAATGCTTACGCAAGCCAATTCAAAACGATTTTTATATGATAAGTCGAAAATACTTCGAAGAGCCGGCCAACATCACGGCCATTAAACCAGCAGATTGCAGCCCTCCTATCAGAAACAAAACTTATCCCATTGTTATAATCACATGAGTCATGCACAGAGTCGATCAGGAGGTGTGGCACACAGACGCCGGATAGGAGCCTCTTCTATCGTCTAGCTCCCTCCCCCCCCCCCCCCATATGCATTATTGTTTGCCTACTGTAGACATGATAAGGACATGTAAAGGCTCTACCGTGCACAATTAGGCTTTTAGGCCCCGGTCAGAGTTCACGCGATTTAGTCGTCGCGCGCTCGGACTTTTTTTACGCAGTTTCGGGCGTACGCCGAGCTAAGGTAACACTCTACATAACAGAGGTGTTATCGACTTTCTCTCAGCGGAAGATACCTACGAGCTGTGCGGTCCTTCACAATGGACCGTACGGCCCTCAGTAATTCTGCATATTCTCGCTGAAGGTCTGCCAGAATGCAACCATCGCACCGCAACTAATCTTTGAAAAAGCTGCAATGGTTCTCCGAGCATTTGTATAATAAAATTCGCCAAAATTCTTCCAGATATCTGCAAGCGGACGGCAAGAAATCAGCGAACTATCCACCTATAAATCGCATGGCCGCCTGCCTCCGGCGATTATCTGAGTGCATGACCTTCACCGTACTCTACCAGAGGAAATAAAAGAGGTGTCAGATCTGTTGCAAATCCCAACCATGACCGTTCCTTCACGGCCCAATCTAATATTTACTCTACAAACATCATAAAATGTACAAAATAACAAAAAGTAAAGGCAGTATGCTGTAACCGAGATGTAAGTCTTTTAGGTTCACGGCCCATTCTGTCAATGTGAGCATGCAAGTGTCCGACTGGCTTATGCTCAACGTTATTGTTCCGTTTTCCACTACTTATAAGATCGCAAAAGAGGATTGGATGTGCGGCCAAGAAGATATCTTGATGTCCTTGTCTTACAGTTCTATGGCAGGTGACTGCGAGATGTACGCCCGTGAGTTTCGAAATCATCCATGACCCCTGCCTTGCAAAAAGCGTTGCACATATGTAAGTACAATCGAGTAGATTTCCTGCTTATTATAGTGTCCCGGCAGATGCGACAACGCTGGGGCGTCTATAATTGCCTGACGAGTTCCCGAGCTAGTGTTTTCCAGTGTTTTCTTTGCTTATTCTATGCTTTTTAGGTGACTCGTCGCTGATAAAGAAGAAAAGGGTAAGTTAGAGAGTAGTTTCTGTTTTCTGAGAAGTTCTATCATCGCATATTCACAGATATCCACTTGGAAGCAGTTCGCGTCAGCTTCTTGTCTATTTTTTGTCACTTCATATATCTTTCTTCTTGTGAGGTACTTCTTTGAACGCTAGTGGTTTTTACGATTGACTTATTGTCTTTATCACATGAAGTACTTGATTAAAATGCTATTTCTTGTGGATGAAAGCCAAAGTTTCTGCAAGACAAGCCAACTAGCGTTCAAAGAAACACCTCACAAGAAGGAGGAGGTTTGAAAGAAGAAGTGACAGAAGAAAAGGAAATGACAAAAAAATAGACAAGAAGCTGACGCGAAATGCTTCCACGTGGATATCTGTGAATATGCGATGATAGAACTTCTCAGAAAACAGAAACTACTCTTTAACTTACCCTTTTCCTCTTTATCAGCAACGAATCAACTAAAAAGCATGAAATAAGCAAAGAAAACACTGGAACTCGCAAGGCATTTATTGACGCCCCAGCGTTGTCGCGTCTGCAGGGACACTATATTAAGCAAAAAATCTACTCGACTGTAGCTTTACGACACATAATTCATTTCAATTGGCTGCCTTGATCGATAGTATCTCTTTCGTAAAATCAGAATGAAGTTGCTGTTCTTTTGACAGAGAATGATGAAAAGGGACTAATAATTAATGTAGTCAATTGACAAATTCACGACATCACCACTCACGGTAAGTCCTATGCTTTGTGAAGTTTGGATCTTTGCAAGTTTACGATGATGCTCATATAATCAACAGTGGATCGCAACTTTACGTTGCAATGTTTTTGAGCTGTACATTGGTGAATGTGGTAGATGCTAGTCTCGAATTGTCATTCCCATTTGCAGAATATTTTTAGAAAAAAAACGTCCACGATGCTGATCTATAGTGTTGCAACAATCTTCAAGGTAGAGTGCAGGGTTCAGCAAGAGATGTGGCAAATCCCCTCTTCCCCATCCCCCTTCCTCTGCCCACCCACCGCCTCCACTGAGTGTCTCTACAGACTTCCCACCCCTCCCCCAGCGCTATCGTCTATTGTATAACTTAAAGCCCCATCAAACATAGTGAGTAATTTATTCTTGATTAGCATGTCAAACAAACTCTGTGGACCAACTTTGATTTTGAGAATCGCAAATGCTGCGCCACCCAAGTGAAACAAAGAAAGAAATCGTTGCATAGAAGTTATAAGAGCTTTATAATTTGAATGAACGGGACCCGGGCATCCCAGCTAGTGCTAAGCCAGGGTTAAGCACTGGTGACCGAGCTGAAATCAATGTTGTAAATGCGGCTGGACAGGTTGGAAAAAGGTGGAGGTGGAGAGGATGAGGACGTAGAAAAGGTTGGTGGTGTACCATCGGCACCCACTCTCGTGTAAAGGCGGAGCGCAGCTCAAAGCGTTTTCAGTAGTGAGTCGGAATAGCAGTGCTATAACGTGGAGGTCTGGCAAGTTTGTTAGCGCTATCAGAAGAAGTATAAAAAATAAAGGACCCGGCGTCTCGGCGTCTTCAATACCCTCTGTGGGCATCCTCAAATGCACTCTACTTCACAGTCCAAAGCAGGCGAATTACAGCATGCGGAGGCCAGTCACAACTCAGTATTTATCCCTCCAGATTATTCTGGTACAATCCATCGTCTGCGAAAAAAAGAGGTCTTGGTTAGCCCAGGGGCGGAATCGAACCCTGGTTCGCCATGGTCATATCGGAGCTTCATACCACTACGCCACTCGTCTTCTACGGCTAAGACCCCCTACTAACTCCCATGGAATCCTTTTACGAAGGAAAATCACGGATCTATTTCGTAAGGGAATCCCAGCCGATTTAATGCGAGGCTAAGTGGAGCGTGCCCCATACTAGGGGAAATTCGAAATTTTTTTTCGAATATATTCAAATATCGTATATTCGAATACCGAATATATTCGAAAATCGAAAATTTCGAATAATCGACTATCGAATTTTATTCGAAATTCCAGGTTTTCGAATATTCGACTTTTCGAATCACTCGCATTCGAGTGATTTATTATTATTTGATTGATTTTTTATTATTCGATCATTCGAATGATTTATTCGAATGATCGAATAATCATTCAATTCGGTCCTTGCCCAGGTGGCAAATAAAGGGTTAATCGCCAGCCAAAAGCGACCCGCGCCTGCTCTGATGAATACTATTCTACTTGTTTTTCAGGGTAGGTGTGGGATAGGCGCGCTTGAGTCGCCTCTAACGAATAGATTCGACCGTCCATTGCGAGAGATTCTGAGCCCAACAAGCTACTCGTGAGAGTAATTCAAAGTATAGTTATACAGTGAAACTCCTTTAACCTTTGAAAAACACTGATAAGGCGGTAGTAAGACAAGGTTTGAAGGGCGATCCAGGCTGCCGAAGACAAGACGGACAATGATAACAATGTGTATCTACAACGCACGGACGCTCGCATCAAAGGCATTCATCGAAGATTATGATGCAGGCAAAAAAAAATTAAGAATTACGTCACCGCGCTGACCGAGGAAAGAAGACACCACCAGCTGAACGCTTTTTTCGAGACTGGAGTAGAGTTTCTGGGAACATGTGATAACAGTTGGCGGTGTTGAAATCCTTGTCAACACGAGTTTGGCCCCGAACATCGATATCTTCGAACAACTAACAGCCAGAATAGGACGTTTAAGACTTACAAGATGTGGACCACCCCGACCTTGATCGTCTTCATTGCGTATGCCCAAATATTAAGTTACGAGAAGGAGATGCTTGAATCTTTATGGACTTGGACAATTTTTACAGAGAAAACCACGCTCTACAAGAACATCGACCTCCACGCGAAGATCAGAGCGAGAAGATCGCCTACAGAACTTCACATCGGGACCCATGGACTATAGTGGAATAAGCAAGGAAAAAGACTTAATACATTTTGTCGAAAAAACAAAGAGGAAAGAAAGAACACCTTTTTTCTAAAGAACAAGAACAACGAAAGAAAACCCAGAAACTCTCAGTCCCAAAAGCTTCCCGACGCTGGACCTGACGTCCGGTGAACAGTACCACAACGAGATTGACTACGTCATCGTCAACAGAAGGCACTGACTGATGGGCGTCGCTATTGCTTCGAAGCTTTTCTTGCAATCAAACCATTGACTCTTATGTGCCAAGTTTTACTTCCCTCGGAATGAATTGAGATCAACTGAGGGCCGCATGCACTAGCATATCAGTTGGATAGAGGATTGCAGCTCAACAGGAAGCTTCATATCCTAAAACTCCCAACTTCTAAGTTCCGCGCTGTCTATAACTCACGTCAAGATCAACTCAAGGTTGTTTGGTTCTAAACTGATCCTTAGACAGCTGTATGCCCTAACTTTTCAAGTCTAAGTGACTAGCGCTATCTTTTTTTGAAGCAACCTGCTGTCTTAGTCTGGTTTCTTGCATGCGAGGATTGACTGTCTATCTTTCTGATGAGCTACTTCATGACTCCTGCTTCTATCCGCAATGCATGGTGCTGAAGTGCCGTCTCTACGACGTCTCAATTCTCACGATTGTTTCTATTTTTATATCTTTTCTATTGTAAGGATTTGTATCCGATACTAACTCTCTTTATCATCTTCTTTGTTTCATCCTCTGTGGCTGCACTCATTGTAAGACCTAGAATCTGGAGCTGCTTTCACTTAAGCCTGATCCCTGATGTTCACGTTTGAGCATTCTTGAATTTCGTCCGCACTCTAAACCAGTCCGGACCAAACTTGGCACACATACACTTCGGGGGGGGGGGGGGTGAGAGAAGGAGGGGAGCGGATGTCGTAGGCTCTCTCCGCCATCGATCTACATCGATTTTGTCGATTTTTGCAAAGTTTGAGCTAAAAGGAAGTTGGCACGAGAAGGTAAGTGAACATGCTGATTACGAAAATATTTTAGACAGGTTCAGGCCCTGTCAGTGAGGATTTCAGAGCCTAAATTGCCGCATAGTTATTGGATAACTAAAAGCGCTTCTGCTGCAAACAGGGGGCGTGAGGCAGATTTTTTCAACTCTAAACCGATGCTTTGATTTCATGCACAGTTTACACAAGCTTAATGCCATACTCTTCTTCAAAAACCACTCGGGGGCTAGACCTGAGCTGGCTTGATGGATTTTTTGTTCTAATTGTTACTGATTATTTAACAAGTACTTTCAATGACTGTTCTAAATGTAGCACGCTTTTTACGTATCTTATATATAAAGCTGAATGTCTGTTTGTCTGTATGTCTGTCTGTCTGTCTGTCTGTGTGTACGTATGTTCCAAATAGAAAAATCCACTTCTGAACCGATCCGGACCAAACTTGGCACACATACACTACGGGCCCCGGCGGGTGTCATAGGCTACTTTTCGTCATCGATCGACATCGATTTTATCGATTTTTTGCAAAATTTGAGCTCCGGGGCTGAGAGTTGGCACAGGGAGGGTTATCGAGCATGCTGATTACGAATATAATAACGACAGGGCCGAGCGGAGCCGGGTAAGTCAACTAGTTTTGAATAAATAAATTTCCTTATTCTATCACTTTCTGACTGATTTGTTAATTCAGTACGAGTCAATCAGTGCTGTGCTTATCATGACGAATGTTACAGTCTTCAGCTTGGGCAGCAAAAGTGCGACAACGAATTTTGTCATTGCTTGGATGTTCGCATACTAAGAGCCTATACTATGCCGTTAGGACAATCTTCATTACAGGTTGTCTCCGAAATTATACGTGATAGAATGTGTGACATGTTCATCAGAGCGAAATGCACTCTTGTATCAAGATTCGGGCAATCGGCCTATACAAATTCAAAGAAGAGTAGTGAGCTTTCTTTACACTTTTTGAAGTGACAGAATTCATACAGCTTTGTTTCATACAATAAGTAAAACAGAATTCAGAAGTGCTGCGTGCAGCTGCCAGAAATTTGTCGCCCAGCCTTTCTGCTTTTACTGATTACAGCTGATAACCAGAATTACTGTGATCAGGCTTCGCGTTTACACTTTTCAGAACAAGAGAGCAAGCAAAAACAAAACTCGCTTCGATACTCATACACCTGCTTTTATAAGCTCCTGCAAGACGAAGGCGGTCGGTTCGAGGTACGACAGGCTGTGACGCGGCTGTGACGCGGCTGTGACGCAGCCATGTCGCAGCCGCGTTGCGCATTGAACCGACCGCCTTCGTCTTGCAGGAGCTTATACTTTCGGTATAGGGGATTTCGAAACTTTGACAAAGGATCAAAGTTGAGAGGGCATGAGTGTTCCAGCTAAATCACCCTTGAGAAGAGAGAACGAGAGCATCGCGAAAATCTGGGAAACCTAAAGGAAGTAACAGTGGGTAATCCGACAGGTTTGGTGAAAAGGTTTTGAGGATGGGACATGGGGAGGTAGGGGAGTGGAAAGAGGAAATGGAAAACGTTGTACTTACTTATTATGGGCATGTTGAAGCAGAACACTTTGACTGTTCTGGCCCTGAGAACTTTATAACAAAGATTCATTTCGGCATGTGAATGTTGAGAGTATGCAGAGATTTATATGTGTGAAATGGAGTGAGAACGCTGAACGATGTCTCTTCAAGAGCCTTACAACATAAATTTCACAACTCTGCATAGATCCTTCCCGTCTTCTTCTTCCGATTGATTCGCAATCCAGTCATTTTACCTATTTCGTTGAGTTCCTTCAGCAAATGTCTCTGTTTCATTGATATTGCTTTAAAGAAGAGACACTAGCAAAAAGGTGATAGGAAAGAAAATTTATTTATTTGCACCTCTCTCTTCTCGATCCAGTAACTTTGTCGCCAGCTGCAGATTGCGAACAATAGCTTCGGCCAAGTTATATCACCACGATTCTATCCCAGCTGGAAGAGGAGCTGAAACAACGCTGCTAGACAGTTCTTTGGATTGCCAATGTTTTTAGGTAGTGTGATTAACGTTTTTTCCAGCGTTATAGGATAGCGTCGCGGGTTCCGCGCGGACATTTGCAACAAATCACGCGCCTTCATAATTATAGTCTCATCTCATGCTAACTGTCCGCATGGGTGAAGCCCATCGGTGACGTAAGTCTACTACCCCTTCCTACGCCTTTTGTACGCTTTATCGTTGACGATGTCTAGGAGGAAGGCTATAAACTCTCTACCTCTAGAAACATAGCTGAGGTTCATCAAACTCCAACACTGGAACCATTCTAAACTAGCTTGTTCTGTAAAGATCTTCATTCAGTCTCCTTGTTGTGGAAATGGGAGTTATACCTGCTTGTAAATGGCCTGTACAGCACATTCAGCAAACACATCGAACTTAGTTTCGAAGGTCCGTCCTGCCCTTACTAGAAAGGCAGCTCTTGAGGTCTTTAAACTGGTTGGGAGTCTTCCTTGGAAGGCTGGCGAATCAAGAATCTCGTGCAAACGATGTCAACCTAATGCAGCCATATCAAGCAGCAGATTACTTTTTATATGCGTTACATAGACGCTTTATCCAACATACGTTACCTCTTACTATTCGGAGAAAGAGACCCTTGAAAACTCGTACTTTTCAGAGCCCGTTCCAATTTCTCATCCTATATCAATTAGCAAGGGGGAAGTGCGTGAAGGCATTTTCAATCTGTACAAGGGGTGCCCTTGGATCGCAAGTAAGCAAGGTTACAAAAAGATGACGTATCGAATCCACAGTTCATCGAACTTTATATTAGAAGATGAAAACGTTCAAAACTAATATAAGATCGGTGCAAAAGTTCTGTCACTCTTTTGAAATAACTCGCAAATCTGGTACAGTAGAAAAAACAGACTTTTCAGATTGCATCCAATGCAGCATTTCCTCCCCTTTCCAGCCATTATATTCCCAATGCCATTCGTTGAGATAGTGCTGAGAAAATCGCTGGACATTACAACCAGAGTCCGACTTGAGTCCGTTTATAAGCTTTTTAAAAACGACGTTCCCCTTGACTCTCGCCAAAATTGACGAAGTCCCCTTTGACCCCAAACCAGCTCTATGAAAAACCGTAGAAACGAAAAGTCTACTTAAAAAAACGTAATTTCTTGCGTCTTTTTCTCTCAAAAACGAAGTCCAGCTCGTTTTCATATGATCTGTGCCGGACACAGTTTACAACCCTTCGTTTTCACAATTTTTATTTGAGACTTTTGGAAAAGTTTTGATAGCCCGCAAATAAGGCAAACCTTTTGCCACCTAAAGCAACTTTTGTAGCTTTGTCGCTTGTCTTTCAAAATTTCTAGATTTTTTTTGAGTAATCACTTCGTATTCGGTCCAATCTAACCTTGTAGAACCTGAAATGGAAACAGTTTAGGGACCACTCCATGTAGCTTTCTCTCCCCTTTCCAACAATTGTCTTTTCTTGGCGAAGTACACGAAATTTGCGGGAAAAATCGCAATATTTTTCAATTTCAGGAATGCGCGCTGACGTACCTTAAGTTTCAAAACCGTCATATTTGAAGCGAAAATCCCTCATATACTTGAGGTCAGTAATATTATAACCGAGTGTTGAGGCCTTTGTCTTCTGGAGATATTGCAGTGTTTGGTGCAGTAAGTGATGGGTATTTTTGAATCTCAGCGCTTTTGATGAATTATCTAGCAAAATTCTAGAAAAGTAGCTTAATAAAAAGAAAAATGCCTCAGTCAGCAGTAGATTTGCCCTATCAATGACTATTAAAGCTTCTCAAAAGTCACAAACAAAAAATTTGAGAATTAGCTATTAGATATGGTGAAATCGACAGGTTGTAACTTCCACTGGTTTTCTCAGCAATCTCTCAGCGAAACACTTTGGGAATTTAGAATCTGAGAAGAGGAAGAAATTTTGCGTTATTTACAAGTCGAAGTGTTTGTTCATTACTATGCGAGATTTGTGGGTCATTTCAAAAAATTGACAGAAATTTTTGCACCGACCTATATTGGGTTGTCCCATAAGTCTTTTCATTTTTGAGTTTTCGCTATAATAAGTCACATACTTCTTATTCTAAATAGACATCAGGATACCATTTTATAGAGCAAAGCAAGCTCTAAGCACAAGTTTTGTTCCATCTCATGTTTCATACATAAATCTAAAAAGTTTCGGGTGCCCAGAAAATTAGAAAAATTTTATATCTTCGTTCAGAAAAGTTTTACAGACCTCTCACTCGCTCACGCATATACACTCCACATCAGACACTCATATGTGCTGTTTCTGTCTTTTTTTATTAGCTAAAAATCAAGAAACCGAAAATTCCCATTTTTTTACCAAAGTGATGCTGTGCTGTTCTTACATTAACATTTGTAACTAGAAGCCCTTAGAAGCATAGGTGTGATAGTGTGAGAATTCGCTCACTCCCTCTTATCCCTAAATCGGGATCAACGTGACCCCCTTCACCAAAAGCCGAGAAAAAAATCAACAGTGAGGTAAGGTTAAACGAAGGAGAGATTTGTACGGGAATTGTTTGTGTATGGGAAAAGAGGAAGAAGATTTAAAGGGATTCACGAACTTCCAGAAGTAAAAAAATAGTAGCTTTTGAAGTTGCACAGCAACGTCAGGAAAGTTCTGTGGAACAACGTTCAACTTTGGTTTCAGGGAATAAATAGCTTGAGAGTACGTTCATAGAAGTACCTAGTGAAAGGTGTGCCTAGTGATTTCTGGACACTTACGAGTTCTCAACATAAAAAAATTCATAAATTTTTGTAGATGAACAGCCGGTACACGGAAATAATCACCGTCGGAGCCGCCTCGTGATTCGTTCTATAATGGAAATCTAAGTTGAAGCCAGCTCTACAAAACGGTACCTGAAGCAAGGCAAAAGACTTCTTGGGAAGAGAGATATTAACGATCAAACGTTCTAAACATTTTTTGGGACACCCTGTATATACTTCACGTGGAGTCCATTAAAAAAGTGCCGGGTGAAAGGCGGGTGAGGCTTTTATAATGGGAGTGCTCAAGTGGAGGTTTTTTTACCATTGTGGGAAGACGTCTAATATTGATAGAGAATATCAACAAGTTCTCTTTTGATACACAAAAAAGTGAAACTTATTGATATTCTCCCGGAGTCATTGGGCTCTCCCGGAATCATTTGGGCAAGGTTCTTTAGTACTATTCCATCAACCGAGCCCCGCTTTGCTTATTTTATCAAGAGCATTTTCTGCTGGCAAACGAGTTGGTATGATTACCACTCCATAGATTACACTAGCTTAATATGATCTTACTCACATATGAGTTCATTCTCTACAATCCTTACTGCTATCCATTTGAGTCACTGCACTCTCCTCGGCATACTGGTTTGGTGAGATTAGACAGTTTATCAATTATCAAACCGTTTGCTTGTTTGAATCATAATTGTTTTGCTGGCAAAGAAGGGGGCGTGGGTACCATCTCCATGAAACACACTAATTCAATTCTGTTGACTACAGTCTTAGAGAAGTCACAAACAGGCTTTCATCACACTTCCAATAACCTAGTCCGAATGCTTAGACCCAAACTACATGATGAATTATCGTGCTTTTAGAGTATGAGTAACTGTGTATTTTTGTCTTTTTCAGGAGCCTAGAGCGTATGTAATAAATAAATAAATAAATAAATAAATAAATAAAAACTCGAAAATCCACAAAAATCACTTGGCACACCCCTCACCCAAGCACTTTTTGGAAGGATCTCAAACATGCTATATATATTCTGAAAGCGGAGGACGAGGTGGTTCCAACGATGACTATTTCCTTGTACAAGCTGTTCGCCTACAGAAGTTATGAACTTTTTTATCCTTGAAACTCGTAAATATCCAGAAATCCTACCCACACCCTTCACCAAGCACTTCTTTAAAGACTCCAGGCAAGCTATATATCCTCGGAAATCGGAGGACGAGGCGGTTCCGATGTCAAATCTCGGCGTATAAGATTTTTATCTACAGAAGTTATGGATTTTTTGTCTAAATATTCGTAAATATTTGGAAATTACTACCCATGAGCTTCGCCAGGCACTTTTTGAAATGACTCCAGACGAACTCCCAGACAAACTATATAATTCCTGAAAGCGAAAGAAAAGATGTTTCTGAAAATATCTTGCTGACGATGCTGTTCATCTACAGAAGTTATAAATTTTTTCTTTTCAAAAATTTGTGAACGCTCAAAAATTGTTTACCTCTTTCCCGAAACAGATGTTCTTGCTTACACATCTTCTACTCTATGGTATTTTCCAAAACAAACAGGATGTTTCCAATCCTACTTCAAACTTGAAAAGTTAGGCCTATCAAACAAACTTAGCAACGTAACAAAAAAATGTGAACTATACCGGGATCAAAAAAAGATGGAATGTGAAATATTCTAGATTAGATTCTTTTATCATAAGCGCCAATTCAGAAATAGTGAAGTCGTGTGTCCTGCTTCATGAACACTGCATAGAAGTTGTTGATTCTGATCCTGCCGATTTATGCTTGGAGGAACTGAAGATATGTGTTAAAACAGCATACGATTATTATCCTGAGGCTAGATGCTTGTCTGCTATAGAGGAAGTATTTCCAGGAGCAGGTATGACGTTTAGTAAGTATTTCACAATGCTAAGGATGCATGCATGGAGGGAGACAGAAATTCCAAAATTAAACTTCGTGTGCTTCTAAAAACATCAGAGCATCTCAGTATGTGAGGTCCTTTGAAAGTCAAAAAAGAAATAATTAGAGTACCAATTTCTCATTCCTAATGTGATATCCGTCCTGTTTACGGGTGCATAGACGCAGGCCTGCAGTAAATCCCTTTTCAGCACGGACAGACTGAGCCATTTCTTCAGCTCAACTTCTTAAGTTAAACCACGACCTCCCCTACCAAGCTTGAGAGAATGTCTGCATGAGTGCCGCTGTCATTCACTAAGTATCATTGAAGGTAGGTCGTAGGCTGAACTAAACGGAGATAGTGTGCAAAAGCGGAAAACCAGAATAACCCCGTAAGTTGCTCGTACGTAGCTTGTGTGAAAGATATGCATACTAATTCCACCGATGACGAATGCGCGCTGCACGGTATCGGGGCCCTATAGACAGAAAAGGTCGATGAACAGCTGATCTGATTGCAGCCACGGAAATGAGAACTAAGATTTTTTTTAGAGAGTGCTTAGATTTTTAAGGAAGTGCCATAAGAAAATGGGATTCATAGTCGTCTTCACCCAATAGTTACTAGGTGGGCAAATTCGAATTTGAATATGAGCACGCCCGAGTAGCCGCGGTACCTTCAACCCTCAGTCCAGCTGAAACTGTCTTTCTCCTTCTTTGACTTATGTGCTTTGTTCTGTATGTTAACAAGTATGTGATTAGAATTACATACATTCACAATCACATACAATCACATACAAACCTTTGAGAAGCTTATGTAAATATATAATTCATTTTATCTTTTCGGGCCATTTCCTTAACAGCGATCATCATCGTTTTTGAATAATGACCGCGAGTCTGCAACCATAGCTGTCTTTCTTGAGACTTAGTGGTTACCATTCAACTAAATTGCGCAGATGTGTTTTCCTTCAACGCACGGTCATCTGTCTTCAAAGCAATTCGCACGTCGGGATCAATGGGCGAGCGCTGACTAAACTCGATTTAAACCCACCTTACAAGGGAAGGATACCAACATTAGTTGGCAATTGAAAATGAGATGTATACCAGTAAATGCATCTTTGAACGCTGATTCCAAATCTGCTTTCTTTTTTTGCGGAATAAGTTTCGAAAGAAGTTGTGAGCGTTTGAATGCCCAAATTTGTCAAGGTTTAGGTGGCCTAAAGTTGACGAAACGACGCACAAAAACATCGGAAAGCGGGAAATCAGTTTTGTATTGAGCATATTGCTTGCAATGAAGGAACAAAGCCGATGAAAATTGCTTAAGTATTGTCTTAGAGCTTTTCGCTAATTTTATGCCATTCAATGCTTGGCCAATTTGGACATTCAAGCGCTCATAACTTCTTTCGGAAAGTTGTTCCGCAGAAAAGGAAAGCAGATCTAGAATCAGCGTTCAAAGGCGCGTCTATTGATATACATCTCATCTTCAATCGCCGACTAATTTTGGTATCCTTTCCTTGTTAGCTGAGCTAGGAAGACGAGGGTTTTTACCATAGGCCGTGTTTTTTCATAAACTGAGTGTTAATGAAGTGATAGTAGAAATAAAAAGAAGATATTCGCCAGTGGAAAGAGGCGCTTTTTGTCAAGGTAAGAACAAAGCTAAAAAGCTTGAAAGTGGGGATCTCGGTCTTTGTCAGCGAGGTTTTTTGTCACTTGTGTAAGTATATCTCAATTTGAGCTCTGTATGTGTGTCATCGAGTGCAATAGCGTAGACGTGACCGCAATATTCTGTTTTTAGGTAATTTGAAAACCAAGAAGAATTGGCTAGAAGGAAGGCTGTACATCCTCAAACCTTATATTTACAGAGCACTCTTCATCTTAACGATCTTGGTGAAGCCAGATAAAGTATTTTGTAGCCGCCTAAATTACTGATTTTTAGGTAGTTACCTTATGCTTCATGTCTTCGATTGTGGGGCTCGTAATGGTGTGCAGCAAGGACCCAGACTTAGACGTACTATAAAACAGGACTATTATTCAAGACAATCACAAGCATTTCAGAGAGCAGTTGCGGGAGCGAGACGGTACCCACGGTGGTTAACATCATTGAGAGAGATTGCGTCAAGAAGAGGTGACCACAGTGAAAAAAGGCAAAGAAAGAAAAAGAAAAGGAAAAGTAAACGCGGACAAACATCTGATCTAGAACTACCGTAATTGCTATTGTTTTGAAACGTAACCAAACCAAACATTACCTTATTCGTATTTTCCCAGAAATCCTTCTCAAATTTAAATATTGTTTTATAGCAAAATTAATAAATTATATATTTAACTAGTTCGGTTTTTCTGATTCTTTCTTTCTGAAGCTTACACTCGCCATACCGGAACTTTCCCAGTTTCGTACGCGACTATGGCAAACATCATTTCAACAGTGGTTGCAGGGGTTAAAAATTAAGATGCCATCTTACAAATGCATGAACTTCTTACCATTCAAATATTTAGCCCGTTTTTTGAGCTATCTAACAAAGCAAAAAGCTTCTTTCAGCTCAATTGGTTCCGACCAAGATCACAGTTTTGTCAATTGTAAATTTACTTCGCCCCAGAAGAACACTAGAAACAACTTATTCAATGTTCCTATTCGTTTGATCTCACTCTAATATTTATGCTGAATAATTGTCTTCTAAAGTGGGTCAGAGGAAAATCTTTTCTTGAAAAGTGAACATAAAATAGAGCACACCGGGATAGGTGCATGGTTTATTGCCATGGAGTACTTATTCGCTTATCAGCTGAATCTATACTGCAAAAATAATATATTAGGCCTTTACTTGGAAATCGCTGATGGTCATATTCGACTCGTTCGGTGCTCCCCCACATTTCGGTATCCTTTTCTCTACTCATATAAAAGGTTTGCGCCTTTTCCTCGAATATTCCTGTAATATTCCTACTTATTGCGCGAAGTATTTATTTTAAAAAAACAAAAGAGAGCGAAGCAAAGATTCGAATGAGAAAGAAAAAATAGTTAATAGGGACCGACACATTTATCCTGACAGTTGATTATGATATACCAGGTTCTTCTGAACACCCTGTATTTGGTGGGTCACGGAAAAGCCACATTCTAATCGCATTCTTAACGTGTGCAAGTGTTATTAGTAGCAGTTTAGAATCATGATTTAGGCATCCGCCATACTTAATCCTCTTAATCCACATGATCCGCTTGATACGCTTCATCATTGGTCAATTCAGTGAACTGACCAATAGTGAAGTGGATGAAGTGGATCAAGCGGATCAAGCGGACAACCGCTTCGCTATTGCTCAATTCACTGAATCGACCAATGACGAAGCGGATCAAGTGGATCAAGTGGATTAAGCGGATCAAGTATGGCGGGTGCCTTACCATTTGATTCAACTAGCTTGGTATCGGCGAAGGCGGGGCTTCGTGATCTAATTAAAGCTAGGTAATGATCAGAGAGCACTCGCGCGAGAGACGAAGGTGCGTCGCGGGCGCGCGGCCTCAATTAGATCACAGAACCCCGCCTTAATGGTGTCAAGCCAGTTGAATCAAAGGATATAATAAAGCGCCAAGCGTCCTTTTTGTGTGAGTGTTTGTCTGTCTGTCACGAAATTCGTAGAGGAGCTGCAGCCAAGCTATCGACCTACAATTTTGCATAACATACCCTACCAGCATGTAGGCCCACCATGCACAAAGACGAGCCGGTTCATTATGTGCTTTGTATTAGGTTGTCCCAAAAGTAAACTCCTTTTTTGAATAACTCAAGCTGTTTTTGATTTTCTAGTATATTTAGGATATGATTCGATAGAGCAAATCAAGCTCTACAAAACGACCGCCAAGGGTCCGCCTAAGTCGCCTTACATGTAAGGCTCCCGTCAGAGTGCCGAAGCCATGCCAGCGCTACGCCAGCGCCGAGCCAGCGTTTCGATCGATACACGTGTATTTCGTTGGGGCGTGGGCTAGCTGACCTAGTTCTCAGCCAGGACCCCGCCCCAACGAAATACACGTGTATCGATCAAAACTCTAGCTCGGCGCTGGCGTAGCGCTGGCATGGCTTCGGCACTCTGGCGGGAGCCTAAAGTTTGAAGCCAAAATCGAAAAAATTTTGTCACCTGAGAATTGAATTTCTGTGACAAAGAATCCTACAGACCTCCAACTTAGTCATTATACAGTAGGCATGTAGTAGTACACAGATATGCCTTTACCGAATTTTTTCCGAGCGTAGAAAGCGAGAAACAAAAATTGTCCAAAAATGGCAAACTCCGCCCCCAGCCCCTCCCACACATGTCATTGTATACTACAAGCCTTGCTAAGTACAATTTCAAAGCCTTACCCCTGTATGTGCTCTTATAGTCGAGAAATACCAAGTTTTACATAAAAAAACCCGAAAAAAGAGGCATTTTGGCATTTTGGGACCCCATTTCTTTCTCATTGAGCTTCGGAAAAAATCCACCAAATGCATTTTTGGGTACTATATATAAAGACCAAGTTGGAAGTCCGTAGGAATTTTCTAGAAAAAGATTCGATTTTTAGGGTAGTTGAAAAATTTTGATTTTTAGCTCCAAAATTTAACTAGGTTACGGATTAGGTGGAACTTTGGTAGTCTTTTCGTAGAGCTTGATGTGCTCTACCGAATGGTGCCCTGAATCTGTCAAAAAAACAAAAACAGCTCAAGTTATTCAAAAATGGAGTTTACTTTTGGGACAACCTAATATATCCCAAACGAATAAACTTACTAGTACGACTGTAGGCCTCTATCATGCTACCCTTCTGACAATACGTCTTGTTGAACTCAATGAAGACCCTTTTTGAGTTCAACAAGAAGCGGATCCTTCAAAATTTGCAGTTCAAACGAGTCCAAGCGGCTTTTGGTGCTTTTGGTGTGTCATCCATGTTCGACTATCTAATCTATCTTAACCTTGGCGTGATAGTTATATTTCACTGATCTTCTTTTTTCAGCTGTTAACCCAAGATTGGTAAAACTTTTTATTAAAGGCAGTGTCTCACCAAAGTTGATGTCGCGCGGATCTTCACATATTCTATCATAGGGACCTCTAAATAGGCCATTGCAACAAGTCCCACTCAGTTTGACCACCTCCACGCTGAGAAAAATTTGCTCAAAGTGGTACGCGGAGAGCCAGTTGGTACGCGCGGACGTCTCCTTCGGTCTCCCCCCTTACGCGTTTGAACATGTCCCTCCACTTGGCATCCACCTCCCCTTTGTTGCTGCCACTGTGGCTGGGGCTGAAGTTGGAAGGCACAACTCGTCCACGTTGCTTCCGCGGGGCCTCCAGAAAACGGGGTTTTTGGGAACTTCGTGCGATTTTAAGCCCATACAGTGCTAGACAGGGTCCGACAGGCTTGCAAAATGCAAAAATCTCGACAACTAAATTTTGGTGAGACACTGCCTTTAAGACCAACTTTCGGCGATTTCGCCTTTGGGGTCTGAAAAAGTCGATTGCTTAGAGGACATTCCGTCAGCTACAGCATCACGACCGAGAAACAGCCTGACCTGTCAGTGAACAAAAAGAAATCAAATGACAAGTGCAGGCCAATGCTATCTAACCATCAACAATGATCGAGTGTTTATTGTGCCAAAAACTGACCAACGCTCTCATTTACAGACCTAGTGATCCGGTCTCAGCCTGCTGTTATCGCAGAAGCCACATAGCGTCTGATACGGAGCCAGTTCTTGGGTGATGGCTAAGCATTCACCTTTTCTATTCATTTTAGGACTTTCAGTCGCAATCCAAAACGCCTCTAAAGCTTTGCGTGTGAGGATCTCGGATAAGCTAAGATTGTAACCTCCATGTTTGTTTCTGCATCATTGTGGCGCTGTCGGCGGTGCATGCCCAATGGCGTAGTAGGATTCGATCTTCTAAGCCCGTCTAATAAGGGAACGATACTTGGTGTCCGTGGCCTTTTGAAATAAGATGTATACCATTACAATCATCTTGGAGCTCTGATTCCGAATCTGATTTCCGTTTCTGCTAATCGTTTCTTTAAAGGAAGTTATGAAGGATTTTTGCGCCAAAGGAGACGTGGTCGCAATGCTAAAACCGCCTCTAAGATGTCATGTAATGACTAGTGAGATAGCCTCGCAAGTTAATGTAGGTCTAGGTTCGAGTTCTTTTGTGTTTTTCAGTTTTGCATTGCCTTAATCAAGCTTCTTTTTGAAAGTTAGGCATCCTCGGTCGCATTTCTCTTAGGCGATCATTGACGCGAAAATCCTTCATAACTTCTTTCAGAGAAAAGATTAGCAGAAAAGGAAGACAGATTCGGAATCAGCGTTCCAAGATGAGTGTGACAGTATACCTTTCATCTCAAAAGGCCACGGACACCAAGTATCGTTCCCTTATTAGACGGGCTTAGAAGATCGAATCCTACTACGCCATTGGGCATGCACCGCCGACAGCGCCACAATGATGCAGAAACAAACATGGAGGTTACAATCTTAGCTTATCCGAGATCCTCACACGCAAAGCTTTAGAGGCGTTTTGGATTGCGACTGAAAGTCCTAAAATGAATAGAAAAGATGAGTGCTTAGCCATCACCCAAGAACTGGCTCCGTATCAGACGCTATGTGGCTTCTGCGATAACAGCAGGCTGAGACCGGATCACTAGGTCTGTAAATGAGAGCGTTGGTCAGTTTTTGGCACAATAAACACTCGATCATTGTTGATGGTTAGATAGCATTGGCCTGCACTTGTCATTTGATTTCTTTTTGTTCACTGACAGGTCAGGCTGTTTCTCGGTCGTGATGCTGTAGCTGACGGAATGTCCTCTAAGCAATCGACTTTTTCAGACCCCAAAGGCGAAATCGCCGAAAGTTGGTCTTGATAAAAAGTTTTACCAATCTTGGGTTAACAGCTGAAAAAAGAAGATCAGTGAAATGTACTACAACAATCACAATGCCAAGGTTTATCGACAGTCGAGTATGAAATATCAATGTCCCAATGGTTTAAGTTTTTGTTCAAGTATTCTCGGCGGCAGTTTGCGAACGACGGGAATAACGGGAGCGAGAAGCTCGCCGGGAAGAGGTTTTCGAGGAGCCGTTTTCTGCATCCGCGAAAGAGCTTTTTAAAAAATGAGACTCCACCTTCAGCAACGTTCACAGCACAGAAAACCTGTAAGGAATAAAGTACTGCAAAGCCAGTAAGTCCAAGGTGTAAAATCGCAAACTAAGTCATGTCTTGCTTGGTCAACG